AAGTTCCGGGAGCGGGAACATGGGCATGGGATGGGAATTGGCGGTGGATGAATGCTTAGGCGACTAGGGAGGACGCGCTCGTCGGGTCGGTGTGCGTGCCTTGATTTGGTTCGCGCTGATTGATTAGGAACGAAACGCGTTTCTGTCCGAAGCATATGCGGTCAATTAATCGGGCCTCGGGGAGTATTCCAGCTGAGGGGAGTTACACACATGGGGCGGCAAGACACCGCGGCAAAACACTCGGTGAAAAGCAAAGACGTCAACTCGAGCGAGATAATAAAGGACCCGACGGTTGGATAATGCACCGAGACAGATACAGCTGCCAACCTTGGACAAGTATTTGTTCAGCAGAGATAGAATGTGGTGCCGTGTTCGCCGCGTCTCTTCCCGTATTTCCGTGAATAGTAAACAAGTAGGCTTCTTGATGCAGCTGGATGTAAACACACACACACTTCTGATGGATGGGTAATGACGACTTTACTTCAGCCGCGGCATCGCTGATGTCAGAGAAGCTGGGCAATGCAACCCCCCTACTCACCGGGGGGAGACCCTGACAACAACCAAGAAATTTCATGACCGATCTCTGACCGAGGCATTGGATCCAAGGCCGCAACCCAAAACACACCCAGCTCCCCAACCCCGGGCTGGCTTTTGAACCCGCGCGCGCGGGTGCGGCAGAGAAGTGACAAGGGTCAACCAAGGACCAGGTAACGATCCAGAAGCCGAGAAAACTCCACATCAGCGAGATTGCAAATCCCAAGTTGCTGGATTTTTTAGGCCGAGGTGTTTGAGCCGGAATTACCAAGGCAACCTTTTCTACTTTTCCGTGGAATATTCCCTGTCAAGAAAGGCCAAGAAGCCGGGTCAACTAACCAAGCTTGAGTAATGACTTCCCCAGACGGCACAAGGGACGGGACAACAGGTTATCTTGTCCCGAGATGATTTTGGGCACCGGTAAATATTTTGATGCCGGGGGCGTGTGAATGAGAATTATCATGAATTTTGTGGATTTCGGTGAAAAATCTGTTTGACCTCGGAACGCCTTTCCCCCCCGCTTGCCAGTTGTTGTTACACCTGTTGTTGCTGATGCTGTTCCATCTAATCATGACTGATATGTCGTTGGTTACAAAATGGCGGTGCACACAACAGGGCAGACAAACCCTGAGAATGGATGCATTTCGACCTCTGACTCACTGCATCCATTCCGTAGCTGCAGGACATGCACATGCAACGTCTCGGCTGGTCACCTCAAGCGGCCGAGATGCGCATATCGCTCTTGACCGCCCTAGAGAACGGATGAGAATGCGGGGACCGGGAATGTATCAGAGATTTCCGGCGGGGGAGAGAGGCAATGCCAACGGACAGAATCCGTTAGCTGAAGCTTCTGAAAATCCGAAAGAGCTCGGTCAAAGGGCCAGACTATCAGCTTTCTTGTGAATATGACAGGTGCTTTCAGGGTCGATCAGTAGCACGTTCTGGGCTCACAGCTGAACAGCTCTGGAACCCGAGAGCGGCGCAAATCAAACGGGGTGTGTGTGTGTGTGTGTGTGCCACAGCACCGGGCTGGAACTGCAGATCATCGTGGTGAAACCGCGGGGAAGCACGCAGCAGCTGTTGAGCAACCACTATCTGATGAAGCTGATTTGATTGCATCCAACAAAGCTCGACTCCTCCAGGCCAATCTCGAACATGTGTTGCAAACGCATGCGCTCACATCCCTTACCTACCTCAGGTATTTTGATAGCATTTGCGATCTATCAGATGCATTCATTCCCCCTGATTCAATCAAGACAATTTGATGGACCGTGAGAGACAGGGCCGAGAGTCATGGACGGGGCATGCCGCGCGCACACAAAGGGGGAGAAAACAACAGCAAAAAAAATACACATCAAAAAGGATAGTCAATATCCGTAGCATAGTTGGAACTATCGACGGCTCCGCACAGAGGCTTTGCCAAGAGGGTGGGAAAAACTGACAGTCGGCTAAAGGACTACGGACGCGGCTCCGAGTACCATTGCCGCACCGAGGAAACTCGGCAAGGCGGAGTGGCACCTTGTGGCTGAAGAGGTTAAAGGGTATGGAGGCTTGTTGTTTACATGGATGGATACACACAGTTTGTGAAAAGTACAGGACGGAGGTGGATAACCGCAATAACCGCTTTGCTTTTTGCATGATACTCTACCGAGAGGTTGGATTTGAAAAATTTTCACTGAAAAATTTGAAGCAAATTTTGTTACTGATTTCTTGCTTCTTTTTCTTCCCTGATTATGAAATTTGGCGAGATTCACAAGCTGGGATTTCATGTCATGGATAGGGAAACCCTGAATGCCCCCACTCCTGTCTTCGATTACGATACCGAAGATTTCCCAGGGGAGCCCATCGCGGAGAAGGCGGTGGCTGCCGTGATTGGCTACCGGGATCGCAATCCATGCCGGCCGGCGGTGAGGGGAGGGGTGCGAGAGCTAGGATGCTGATTCGTGCGGGCCCCCAGTCTGGACGAAAAGGGAACTTTTTCGGTCCGCCATGGGGGGAGAAGGAGGAGCTCTATCGGAGGGGGTTCAGAGGGAAAAAGCTAACGGGCATGCAGGGAAGTTTAAAGGGCGAGAGTGAAAGGGTATTCCGGTCCGGGCTATTGGCAGAAAGATGGGGATGGAAAGTGGAGAGTAAATCTGGATTCCGTTCCGTTGGCTAGGGATTGGAGCGGCTTGGTAAAAAGGCTTCTCGATTGGAAGGGGGGGGAGAAGAGTCGCGATAGAGTCAGAGTGATGAATGAAGAAGGCGGATGAACAGGGCTCGCAACGGATAGGTGCGCGTGTCTTGTCCTCCCCTCCATCGTGTCAAGTTTGGTTGTCGGCGAGTTATTCGCTGCTTCTTTGCTGTCGCTGACCAGCGGTGAAAAAGCATCAATAATTACTATCGACGACTTTACTGGTTGGATAGGACATCCCCTTCAGCTCTCCTCTGTTCCGGACAGTCGCGCGCACATGCAACCCAATCGATCAACGACTCCCTTCGGGCGGTCGGTTCATTCAAACGCGTAGAGCAGATAGGCCATCGGAGCCCTGTAAAGGCGTGCTCTGTCACCAAGGGAGGCGGTCAGGATGCAAGCCCTTCCCTCCCCCCAAGATTGGAAATAAAGTGCCCAAGGTACGGGAACGGGGGTCAGGGAGGGGTGTGTGGTTAGCCGCCCTTTTCTTCCCCCGAGAGAGAGAGCTGAGTTTCGCTCGGGAGATTCCAGGGCAGCCCAGGGCGGATTTTGGGCTGCTGTGACCATCGCGGGGGGCCTCTTCATAGAGAGCCTGAAAGGGGGGGCAGAGAGGGGGCGTGGGGGGGAACAAGGCAAAAGAGGAGAGAGACAAGAAGGAAAAAGCAACAGGAGACAAGAAGCCACAAGCAAGCAATTGATGAGCGCTTGATTGATTGATTAATGATTGTCTCTTTGATGCTGCGGTGATCAAACGGATGGTTCAAGATCCGATGCCGCCAACCGAACAGGAATATGACTGGGTCAGACGAAAAAAGAAGCAGTCCGTAGTGGTCGCCAATAGAGAGGCACGGGGTAAGGATGATTCACTCGTGTTCATCACACACTCGTAATCCAGTGTGTACTGTATTTTTGCTATTGTAGGTGGTGATTTGTGTGTGTGCATTGCCGCGCCGCGCTGACAACTCGTCATCAATCAACCTATCTATTCCCTATTACAAGCCAAATCCCGTCCGGCTGTGCCGCCTGTGTGATGACTGTGCTTTTCCGAATCCGAAGTTGATAAAAATGCCCTGTTTTTGGAGTGGTGATGATGATTCAGACGCTGGCGGCGAATCGAGGCCTCCCCCAGATTACGAAGGCGCCGGCCGCGTAGGGGTTCAGATGGAAGCAGAGCAAACAGGCGAGACAACTGAGCGAGCAAGCAAGCAAGCAAGCAAGCCACGGAAGCAATCAATCAAAGCAGGTTTTTGTTTTTGTGTTGTCTTGGATGAGACCGGCCTTTGTCTTGCCCAACATGTCCCGACCGTTTTTTCTTGTTATTGTAACGTTTGTTTGTTGGGTTTATGAAGTCGTGCTTATCTCACCTTTTTTGTTGTTTCTCTACACACATCTCATTGATTCCATCTACAAAGCAAAGCAATCAACTGTGTTTGCCACTTTACCACTTTTACCAAGCTCGACTCATTCTCGCAGTGGCCGTGACAGCTCGACTCATTTCTGCAGCCCTTGAGAATCCATCCTTCGATTATTCTTCCTTTTTTCCTTCTCGTGAGTCGTGTACCTTACTTGACTCTGTGTGTACGGATACCATCTTGGGCAAGTGGACGCGACAACAAGAAGCAACGAGAACAAAGTCTTGGCGGGAATAGAATCTGGATACCGAGCCCGGCGGCATCTTTCACAAAAACACGCCCCCCTTTGAGTCAGAGTCAGAGTCACCCACGTTCCCACGCCTTGGGCCTCTCCCAGCTGGAAAGGAAGCTTAGCCATTCACCCGCTCCGCGCATCCCCGCCGCTTACCCGCCCTTATTCTCGTCTCTCTCTCAGTGTCTTCCACCGCTCATTTCACCACGCCCTTGTCCACCTTGTCCACCCCCCCACACACTGGACTTCTGCCACTGACAAGCTCGGCGAGGTTTCCCGACAGCCTGCCAGCCAGCCCAGCGACAGCCAGCGGAAAGCAAGCCTAACCGCACCGTATCCCGACGCCCGACCTGACGGGACCCCAGGCAGAGAGGACCCTTGCCGTTGCTCTGCTGCGAGGAAATCTTCGCCGGGACCCTTACACTCCCACACCCCCCAACCTTGAGTCGAGTCTCACACCCCCTCCCTGCGGATACACGCCTCCACCCCCTTCCCATTCCCGTCTTTTCCTCCATTCCAGCCAGCATCGCCCACCCCCCAGGCTTCCCTTTGCCGGCTGCCTGTCCGTTCTGCTTCATTTATAACAATCCCACGTCCCCGGGTTTTCACCCAAGGATCCATTTAACTGCTCTCCACAACAAGCATCAAAGTGATCAACAGCATCTCTTGCTATTTAGCAACCTCTCAGCTCATAGAGCTTCACTCGCCATCCTCACCTCGCCTACCAACAACCACAACCGTCACAATGTTCGGCTCATACGGCTCTTACAGCTCCATGTGCGCTTCCTCTGCGCCCATGGATATCACCTCGCGCAGCAGCTTCACCTCTCACGACTCGGCCTGCGCTTTCCCCTCTTGGCCTCGACGCGACTCCCTCTCCGAGTCCGACCGCGAGGAACGCCCTACGTCTTATCTCTCCGACGACGATCTGTTCCTCCCCGACCCCTTCGACGATGACGCCCGAAGCGTCTCCAGCGCCGGCAGCTCTTCTCCTGGAGCCATCGCCTCTCCTCCCAACGTCATCTCCGACTACGAGCTCCTCCAGGCTGAGCGCGAGCGCCAGGCGGCTATGCAGCGCGAGTTCATCCGCGTTGTCGCCATGGAGAAGGAGCGTCGCCGTGCCGCCGCCGCACGAAAGCAGCGCCGTAGCAGTTCCAACAAGAAGAGTCCCAAGACCAAGCTCACCTCCATCCAGGAGTCTGCTGAGTAGACGAGCTTTGGTTGCTCTTCATGACTGTTACGATTAATGATAGCGTGCGTACTGGAATTTGCTGTCTGCTCGAAACAGTCACTAACACACAATCACAGGCTGCTTTCTTTGCATTACCACATATGATACCCCCGAGATACCCCACACATCAACAGTCGCATGTGCGCAGAATGCACATGCCAGATCTTCTACACCACTACCCCATCATAATACCAGATGGTCTTTCAACACAAGGACACTTCACGTGAAGGCAACCACCACACCTTCATTCAACCTTCCTTGGTCTACTTTCGCAACACACACAACATACCGGCAACACTTCTTACCGCCGGCTTAATCACTCTGCCCTATTGTGGGATGCAATAGCCGACAGCCACACTTGAGCTTGGTCGATGACGACATGACGGACACTCGGATTCGGACTGAAGGCCTTCGCCACGTTTTCCCCAGGCTCCAATGTGGGGGTGGGGGATGAGTCAACACACCAGCAAGCCAAGTTTGGTCGGACCGAGGAATGGATGACAACAATAACAAACAAACATGATTCCGAACCGGCCCAAGCTTTCCATTACCTATCGCATCGCTACGAGGATTGTCCGGGCGGGTGGAAGACGCTACTCGCTCTGGTGTGGGCCTCGGAGACTCGGCCTTTGACCGGACCAAAGAGGGTCCTGGTTCCCCGCACGCGGGCCGGTCACGGATCAGGCTTCGGTCTGTTCCCTCGGTCTACCGCTTATGTCTTTTTCCTATTCTTCTCTCTTCTTAATCTTGTTTTTTGGTACATTCAGTCCTTTGCAAGGACTGGCAAGCATCGCTAGCGCATGGGAGTTCTTTTTTTTTTTCCTTCACTTTATCATGGAAGGGGTCTGAATACAGACAAGGGTCATGGGGCATTTGGCATTGGGCATTGGTTACAGTTCTTGCATCAGCCGCCCACCACTGGGTCAAATCAGCTGGCACACATTTGGGTTTACTGGAGCAAGATGCCTGGCATGGCACATGGGAATAGGATATGCATTCAACAAGGGCATTGCATGGATGGGATTATTGCATTACTTTAGATACCTTAGGATAGTTTTGAGTTCTTTTTATGGCGGCCGTCGAGCCAGCCCTGGTCTTTTGAGATACCCTACTAGTTAGCATTTGCAATGTCTATTGACGAATATTGAAACAAAACCGAGTTCCTCTCTTCATGTGAAATGGCGTCTTGATTGTGGTGGCTCACTGGTCTTTTGACCTCTGCTTTTGGCTCTAGCCCTTTATTATCCGCTGCCCTGGGACACGGGAACTTGCCGACAATACGAGTTGTCAACAAAGCCACGATCGGGGAGCAAGCATGTGCCACCGTCAACTCTGTTGAATAGCACAAGCCTCTAAATCATAACGGCTGCCTCTTTACAAGGCGTCTTGCTCTTCTTATCTGCCTCGGCGCCCGTGGTCCCGTCCCGTGCCGGGTTTGAGTAGTCGTCACATGGCCCTACAAGTAGCTGACAAGGACGGGCTGACGCCTCTGCCGCCTAGGCAAGCGGTGAAAAGCGCATCGCGCGCCTGTCTGTCTCGATGAGATCGGCGTTCTTGATAGATGGCTTTTTTTCCCACGTGAAGTATGGGGATTGTCGATAGGACTTTTGACTGGGAGTGGATGTAGATGTTGGAGTTGGTGTAGTTGTGTCTGTGACTTGACGTCTCGTGGCTGAGGGGTGAAACGCGGCTGTTGAAGGTCTGTTACTCTTTTGTTGTTTCTATTGTAGGAACATGGCTATTAGATACACTAGGTACATTTCAAAGCTACAAGGACTATCTATAGTGGTGTTGTCTAGGACAATGGAAGCCCAAAGTTGCAACACAGGACTTTACAATCTACGTATCTTTCTTGGTTTCTTTGTAGTAAAATTCCCCTAGTCCAAGGATGTCCAAATTGCCCATGAAAGAGTCTTTTTTTTTCTTATTGCTGGTTACAGTTTCACGTAAAAGGGTGTGATGAGAGTTGGCTTTGACAACGGCACCGGCAAGAAGGTGAATCAAAGACTGAGGAGGTACGCCATGGAATGCATAATGAATGAACTATAGACTGGCCGTTGTTAATAGAATGTCTAGCTCTGAACCGCCATCTTGTTTTGCTCCTTGGACACCCAGTTCTATACTGGACAAAGGGGAGTGTCTGTGTACACATTTAGACCGGTAAACTAGGAACCGGGTCGGCATGGCTTGAGAACTGCACAGGAGGGTGTGAAGAATTTCAGCTGCCGAATGAAGCTTTGACGATTTTATTTATATTGTGATCCTAGATTAGACATTTACCCGACCCTCTTTGACGTTCTTTGGACAAGTAGCTCTGCACTGGACAAAGAGGAGTGTCTGGTGTGCACACCTCTGGACTGGGAGCCGGTTCGGCGTTGAAGACAGTGGCTTGGCAGCTGTGTACCTAGGGGCGTGTAAAGAATTCAAGTAGTCAAATGAAGCTTTGACGATTTTATTTTCTATTGTGATCCTATATTGGACATTTACCCGATCCTTTTTGACGCTCCTCGGATGTGCCCGCTTAAGCTTTTGGCCTTGAGGTCTGACTTGTAAGTTAGCCTTTGAAGAGCTGCGACCTATTGAGTAATAACAACTAGTTATGCTATATGATGCTTTCCCGGATAAACGTAGTCTGTTGATACGGGCATGGGTTTGACAACGTATTCTCTGCCGGGAAAGGACTTGTGGCATTGACACTGGGCGTGACAGCTCGACTGGGTGTCACTGTGAATTACCTTGATGTATCATTTTTATTCAGAGACCAATCTGATAGAGAAGACCAATGTCAGGGATTCATTGTATCTTTTGACATCGAGTTTGACCATGGTTCATCTTGTACTAATGTTGAACCGAGTACCTCGGACGTTGCATGTAATGGCTGAGTGCTCATGAGAGCAATACATACCCAAGCCGATATTTGGGGGAAAGAGTTGAGTTCTGTACATATTCGAATCTATGAAACTCGAGCTACGTTTCCCAAGTGCAGCCTGCCCTATCGTTGTGAAAGGTTCTCGCGCCTTGTTGCCAGTCCTCGATAACGCCTCACCCAACAACATCATGCCAGATGGAGCTTTCACTTGAGAATGAAACCCCAAGGCCTTGAACATTGAATATTAAGATGGAAATATGAAATGATTGAGTCGTTTCTATGGAGTAATTGCCCAGTTAAAGGCATGTCCATGCTGCCTTCGCCCAACCTTGGAGATCAAAACTGTGAATCCCTTCAAGTCTCGCCTGGTGAGCCACATCCTCTACCCAATTTCGTATTCATGGACAATTACTAATCTTCCATCGCGAAATAAGCTTGATTGTGACGTTTCTCCAGCCCTCATCCTAAGTTGCTCAGACCCCGTCTCTATCAAAACCCTCGCACCTTTCCCCGCATCAAGAACTTAGTAATTCCACCAACGGACCACTTCAAAAGTCGATATTTAACGACGCCATCACGTCAGCTACGATATTACAAACCTAAATTCTATTTGTCAGCTACTTTACTCTGTTGAATCTGTATAAGACGTCCCTACGTACGTGCCGAGATACAAGCCCATCAGATCGACATAGACATCATGGTCAACGATAAGGATATTCAGCACCTCCGCCTCGCCGTCTCCCTCGCCCGCGAGGCCCTTCAAGCCGGCGATTTCCCCTTTGGTTCAGTCCTAGTCTCTGCCTCTGGTAAAGTTCTCCAGACGGATCGCAACCGTGAGACCACGGGCTCAGATTCCACCCTACACCCCGAGTTCACACTCGCTCGATGGGCAGAACAGAACCTTTCGCCAACTGAGCGCGCAGAATCAACAGTTTATACAAGTGGCGAGCACTGCGCCATGTGCTCGGCTGCGCATGCGTGGTGTGGACTTGGGAGGATTGTGTATGCTTCTTCGACGGAGCAGTTGGGCGCTTGGCGGGATGAGTACGGTATTGGAAAGAGTCCTGTTAGCCCGTTGAGTATCCAGCAAGTTGCTCCGGGTATTCAAGTTGAGGGACCGGTTGAGGGTTTGGATCAAGAGGTTAGAGCCCTTCATGTTGAGGTTTGGACAGCGCAGGGACTCAAGCCCAAGGCGTAATGGGAGACGAGAGTCCATCTCATTCACGAGAATAGGATTGAATGATAACATGATGGTAGTTGACCTCGATTGAATCGTCTATAGTGATCTTTGGAGGGACTTGTACATGCTGGAGAGCCTGAGCGATCGATCCATGTCCTTACTAGTTCTAAGAGTCAACCTCTCCGACAACACTGCCTGCTTGGTCATCAGCACCTCAGTGACATTCAGCTTAATTATCATCATCTAAATGTGACAACGATTGACTCATCCGTCGTTGTAATACTCCAACAAGGGCTGTGCATTTATTTGTAAGACATCTTAAGCCATCCATCCTAAGCCATCCGTTAGCTTGTCTTGGCTTGAAAGTCGCCGGTTGGAATGCATCCGAAAAGTCTCCGTGCACCATGGTATAACTTCCCCTCGTCACCCTCGATAAACATTCCATGAAATCAAACTCACTCTTGATATTAATAGACAACCACTAAAATGACCCGAGATATCCTCATCGTTGGAGCCACTGGCCAACAAGGCAGAGCCACCATCGACGCCACCTACAAGACCCTCAACACATCTCAACACCAAATTCGAGTTCTGGCTTTGACGAGATCCATCTCATCGCCCAAGTCTCAAGCCCTTCAATCAACTTACCCGGACATTGTGCTGGTGCAAGGCGAGACTCAAAACCCAGAGCCGATATTTACAGCCTATCCATCAATCGCATCAATCTTTCTCGTCACGGTTCCACCCAATGACGAAGCCCAAGCTCTCCCTCTTATAGAAGCAGCTACAGCGCACTCGACAGTCGACCACATCGTATTCACAAGTGTTGACCGCGGCGGTGACCTTGCAAGCTGGTCCCAACCGACAGAGGTACCTCACTTTGCAGCAAAGCATCGTATCGAACTCCGGCTGCGTCAACTGTGCCAAGAGTCTGGCAAGAGGTGGACCATCCTGAGGCCGACGGGCTTCATGGATAGCTACAACCCTGGCTTCTTTGGCCAGCTCATGGCGTCACTCTGGGCTGCTGGAATGCCCGCGGACCGCAAGATGCAAATGATTAGCACACATGACATTGGAATCTTTGCCGCCAAGGCGCTCCTGAACCCTGAAGCGTGGGCAGACAAGGCCACTGCCCTAGCGGGTGATGAACTGAACTTTTCCGAACTTCAGGACGTGTTCCAGAGGACAGTAGGAGAGCCTCTTCCTCAGACTTATAGAGCAGTCTCATATCCTGTCTTGTG